GTGCTACTTTGAAAATTATTTGCATGTAAGATCATATTTGTGGCTGCTTTGTGAGACCACATTTTCTATGTGCATTGCTACTTGGAAAATTATTTACACGTCAGACATATTTGTGGCTGCTTTATGAGACCACATTTTCTATGTGCAGTGCTACTTACATAGCAAATAATATAGATATAGGCTGTACATACCGTCAAAATTGCACTGGAAAATTTATCTATATAAAGCCCCACAACTCCAGTTTTATAATATACCTGCATTCCTCCTGATCAACAGCCTTCCTTTTAGATTCTAAAAACCTCTACTTATTCTCTCAGTTTTACTTCCTAGCTAAATATTAAGTCTTGTGCATGACCTTGATCTCCTTCAATACCATTCATGGCAAAATCATCCCTTCACCCTCCCACCAATGGAAGCCTCATCACTGTTCTTAGCATTGATGGAGGTGGAATAAGAGGGATTATACCTGGAATTATACTCAGTTTTCTGGAGTCTGAGCTTCAGGTAAAATGATCGATGCATGAGAACTTCATATATGTCTATTAGGCTCGTTATCTTCATTTCTAGATGTTTATTCATATATGATGTGTTTGAAAACAATTGAGGTTCCACCATTCGGTAATAATGGGGTCGCTTAACTCTTTATAAGCTCTTGCAAGGTTGGGCAAACACCTGATTTGAGACATTTATTCACTGATTTGACTACAATATTTATATGTATTTAATACAATCATTATCTTAACGGTTAGATGATGATTATATTAAATACATATATTCACATGAATTATATTTGATTGTTAGATGGTGATTGTATTAAATACATGTAAATATTGTTGTCAATCCCTTTATTGACATTCTCACATGCCTCCTCACACATATAGAGAATTTTTTGGCATAACATGTAGACAATTTCAGATGTGGCCCTTGGGATTTACATGCGGTAAATTGATTTTGATACAACAAAAGAAACTGAGGTTCCATCATATAAATCAATTGGTAACGAATATGGAAGTGGCTCTAACTCCTTATCAGCCTTTGTAAGGTTCGGTAACTTCTGATGTGTGACAATTCTTCACATCTTCACTATAATGTTGCATTCATCCTGAGATAGTCGAGTCTACTATATGTATACATCATATGTAGTTTGTACATGTTATTTCTGATAGAAAATATACCAACATTATGCACTAATTCTACATCATTATATATGTGAATACAGTTAACTAACAAACTTGGTGATCAAGCATCGATATGATATCAAAACTCATTTGACTCTAAATTAAGGATGCTAGTTAAAAATAATGGTTTTGTAGCTTCATTCAAACCCACAATTTAGTGTCACATCGAGCTACCATGTCTGCTTCCAGTGTAATATACCAGCTGCAACTCTCAAAGGACAAGTATTAATTGCAGAAGAAAAAAAAATTGTGTTATTACTAGGAGAAGTTTTGTTTATGGTCCTAACATTGTGTTACTTATACGATTCCCCCATATCATAACACATGATGGGAGGCGAGTTTAGAACTTCATAGTGTAGTATATCAAGAAATATACATGTGTGTTTTAATTCTGGTAGATTGATATAATAACACTCAGTCATGTTGACTATATGCAGAAACTGGATGGTAAGGATGCAAGGCTCGCAGATTATTTTGATGTGATTACAGGGACTAGCACAGGTGGCCTTGTGACTGCCATGCTTACCACCCCAGATGAAAATAATCGTCCCTTGTATGCTGCTAAAGATATTACCCCTTTTTATCTTGAAAATGGCCCCAAAATATTTCCCCAAGACAGGTATTATCCGATATATTAGCTCTTAATTAGTTTGTTAAATAATGTTATATGGTAACAATTAACTGAAAAATAACCTAGCTATTTAATTTCCCTTCAACAACAGTTCTATTGTTGCCAACCTTGCCATGAACGTGAAAGTTTTGGGTAGACCAAAATATGATGGGAAGTTTTTACATTCCCTATTAAGGGAAAAGTTAGGAGACAAGCACTTGCGCCACACCTTGACTAATGTTGTAATCCCAACTTTTGATATAAAGCGGCTCCAACCGGTTATCTTCTCCAGCTATCAGGTTTGATTATCTCTTAATTGGAACTATATATATATATATATATATATATATATATATATACGGGACTTTTTGATACAAGTGCCTGGGTTTTCAATTCTATAGACTAAACATTTGTTGGTTTTAGAGATTTAATTAAACATTTTTCCTACAAATTTGGAGTTTCACCTATCATAACTATCCTTTATTTGTACCAAAATTACAGATCTTACCACTGCCTAAATTCTTCACGTCAGGAAAAAAGTGCAGAGATATTGAAACAAATTTCCTACAATCTAGCTCCTTTGATTCTCTCTAAAGATAATTATACAAAAAAAAAATGATTATCTATAATTTATAAAGGAATAAAATACCCTGACGTTTGCTTTTTTTTTTTCTTTTCCCTTTCAGTGAAGAAATAAAATACCATTTAAGATATTTGTAGTAATCCATATATAAATTTTTGTAGTAATTCATATAAGAAAATAACATCGAGAATAATACAAACGCACTGATAAAAAATACGTATGAAAACAAACTTACTAAAACCGGAAATAAACATACTAGCTAGTAAACAAAGTTGAAGAACAAAAGTAAATGTACCAATCTGCGATATGTATAATATTAATTGTACCCATATGATACCAAATGGTACAATCCATCACTACAAGAAAAATGAGCTTTGGGTACAAAATAAAGGGCACAATTGAGAATTTTGTGTCAGTTTGACCACCAAAAAGCTTAAACAATTCCCATTCCATAGAGGGCACCATCTATTGTGCCCAATGTTAAAAAAAGCAGACACAAAACAGTAATGGGCACGGAAATCGTGTCGAGTGGGATCACATGACAACTTTTTTACTGAAAATGGGCACAAAAAATATTTTGTGTCTATAAAAATTATTTGTCAAAGGCACTATATGTTCTCTCTCGTTTGTCTTTACCTCCACTAGCACACCAATAATTAAAATTTATAAAATTGTGGTAAATAATGGTATGAAGCTGTTTATTACCGTGCAATATTTTAGCCTCAAAATAAGTTAGCAATAATGTTGTTCAAATTTGTTTTTCCCGAAAGCTGAACCTCAGATCTCTCACTTACAAGTAAAGAAGAATACCACTACACCATAGTACTAAGTGGCATGTTTTAGATTTACAAAGGATCATTTCCAGGTGCAATGAATGTTTATTAGATTCGTATCTTTTTGAATTGCTTTTTGGATTGTTATCTTCTTGCAGATTTGTTTTTTATACTTGGTGATATGGTTTTTGGTTTTAAAGTCCTACCTGCAGTGACACATAACCAACAATTGTGCCCTTAGGGTTGGTCTCTGTGCAAAAGTTAGTTGGTCTTCAGATAGACAAATGAGTTAATAATTGTAGATTCCTTTTTATGACACTAATGATAGAAATTGTGTCCACTAAATATTAATAAATAATAAATCACTCTACTTCTCATTGGGTCTTCAAATAGAGAATATATTTTAATAATTATAAATTCCTCTTTTCTGACACAAATGTTAGAAATTGTGTCCAATAAATATTAATAAATAATAAATACTCTATAGCAAAAGAATATGTTGGCACAGTTATGGATTTGTGCCTTTATTCTACTATAAAACGTCCACACACTCCCTTACTAATTTGTATATGGAAATTAAGAAGGTTGCTTCATACACATATGTTTCTTTTGAATTTGAGCAAGTTCTACATCATTGACAATGGCGGACAGGCGACGTCGTGGAGTTAGAATTGGAACTGAATCTCCAGCATCACATTCGTATATTGCTTCCAACATTACAACAGAAAATTCCACAACGAATCCTCCAGTTCAACGTCCACGACAACCTGTTAATGCTAGGCGCATGCCTCGTCCTTTTAATAATCAGTACATTCTTACTACTTTTGTTGATGGTCGCCTTGGCTACGCATTACCCTTCAATAACGGATGCGTACGCGCACCTCAAGGACGTGTATTGCCAGCATGGGCAAACCCCGGTAGGACAGAACAATATCCTGTCAATTTGGTTTCTGCTGAAACAACAACTGAACAGTCTACCAATTCTGTCGTTATTATTGAAGAACCACGCACTTATCAAGCACAAATTCGTCCTAGAGGTCTGTCTGTCCCACAGTTGAGCTCACGAAATATGCAGAATGTTACCGTTGAGATTTTAAGCAGCGATGACGAGGACAATTAATATATTTTGTATTATGTTATATTTCACTAGTGTACTATGAAAATATAACTATCTTATGCTATGCTGGACTCCTCTTGGGTCCTTTTATCAACTTATGTCGTATTCCAATATAATAATGTTTTCTTTCTAATTAGCCCTTGTAGATTTACTCCTAGTATATATTTTTTTAGGTTATAATTATGTTTCTCGTCCGCTTCATACTGCAGAATTCAGTGAATTCACAGCGTGGCAACACAAAGGTTATGAGACATTATATATACTAAAACCCAGTTGGGTTCCGGCACTGTTCAGCAATAGTAAAAAGACGGAAATGCCCCTGATTTTTTGTTTGCTTAGCCGTTTTGCTGCAGCTTTGCACAGTTAAATATCTGTTATGCCCCTGATTGCCACGCGTTGATCATCCTTTGTCTGTGTGGTTTGATTCCGTCACAGCGAATGCACGACGTTTCCCTTCTAGCCCACGCGTCCATCATCGATGGCCCTTTCAGTTCGACTTCATCCCAATTTCGCTTCTCTCGCCATTCTCACCTTTTGGGTATTTTGGAACCTAGGTTTTTTTCTCTCTCGCATTGCCGTTTTACTTGCTGTTTAGCGTTGCCATCTTTCTCCAGATCGGCAGGCCGATAGAACCCGGCAAGGTCAGCATGTAGTTCTATGGAAGTACCGCCTGTGATCTCAGCCATCTCAGCCATGCTCGCGCCGCCGTCAATTTCGTTGTTTTGTTCAGGTTCGCACATTCAATCTCATTATTTGCATGTTTAATTTAATATTCATGCAATTAATTGTGCTTTCAATTAGTGTGGAAGTTGATATGTTTGATTTTGTGCATGTACTTTATTTTTTCTATTTTCTGTTAGAAATTAATTTACTTTTCCTTGGAAATCGTTGAGCTCCTAGAAGTTTTTGCCTTTTTTCTTAATTTGATCGAAATCCATTTCTTACCCACATAACCTAGAGTCTCCTGATGAGTTTTTCGTCGTTCTCAGTGTGTCTGATTTAATTTAATTTTTTTTTTTTCGATTTACAGATGGATTTTGTGTTTAAATTTTCTTTTTATAATTTTGGGGGTTTTGTTTATGTGCTCGGATGCTGTGTGTGGCTGTCTGATTTCGTTCTTTTTTTGCTTTCAGCAAACGCTGGTGTTCTTATTTTGGGGTTTTGCTGAGGGTATATAATTTGTTGAAATATTTAGTTTTTAATACATTAACAATTTTGCTGGGTCAGTTTTTGTTACCGACTGTTTTTTTTTTTTTTTTTTTTTTAACTTTCGATCTCCTTCTATTTGAGTGGTATGCTGGTATACAATTTATTGTCCTAAATTCACAATCTTACACTTCACAAATTTCACTGCTCAACCTATACTCAGGTAATCAGTTCAAAGTTGGACTATTTTAACCCTTTCAGTTTTTAGACTCTATAATGTTAAATCCAGTGTTTTATTTTGATTCTACATTCATTTTGATTTTACTTTTGACTTTCAGTCTACGTTCATTTTGATTGAGTTGTTTTAAGGATTTTGTGGGAGGACTCCCTTTGGAATTGCCGAATGCTGTTATTTGTCGGGTGGATGCCTTGGACGTAGAGTTAATTCCTACTAAAAAGGTATAGAAGCTTAGCTAGACCTTGATTATCATCTAAGGAAATAAATAACTGTGAAAGTAGCTTCACTATGGTCTGTAGTCATCTGCCACACCTTTGCATGACTCTTATATACCTTTGAAATTGAATTTGGGTTTTGATTATTTCAATTAGTTTCTCTGGTTTATATTTCAAGGTCAGCCGGTTTTGTATTTAGCATCAATCAATTGCTTTTTTCTTGGTGAGTAGCTAAACGTTTACACTTTCAGTTTAACAGAAAATGATAAATTGTGGCAAACCCATAAACTTATTTCGTGACTATCACAATATTCTTTCAATATTCTATGTTTTGCTTACAATTCTGTTCTCTCTAGGATGTTTAAGTGCATTTTTGGTTTTTAAGTTTCACCGCCAAATACCGACTGTGTGATTGTGTTTTCTAACCCCTATGTTCTCAATAATGTTAATGTTTTTTGATACCCTTTTTACATCTTTCAAACACAATGTTTAATACAATTTTCAAATTCGCAGTCATTTCGAACTCGGATTCAGCCAGCCTGTGGTAAGCCTGTATTTTTCAATTGCTTTCATTTGTTTATATGTGAATCAATAACTTTTTGGCAAATAATGAATGTCGCAATTGCTGATAAATTGATTCTTTGTTTAAAAACTTGAACTGTAGATCTGTGCAAAATATCCATATATGGATCAGTGCCATGGACTCTTCTCAACCTATGGACCTCAAATCTCAGTGCGTCTTCCATCATTTCTCCAACCTCACTATATATGGAACTATTACATTTGCAATCATATTAATTCCTTGAACACAATATTTATATTTCTCTGTAACCTGCTAATTTTGGAATATATTATCGTTTCCTTACTGGTACATGAAAATGAAAATATAAAAATACAACCGGTTTAAGAAGCTAATCTCTTTTAATGTTCTTGGTTGCCTACAATAATTTTTAGTTATGTGAACTAGAAACCATGTGTGATTTAACTTGCAAAGTTTCTCTTATCACCCCTCTGGATGGTTTTGTGAACGAAAATAAGCATGTCTCTGTTTGTCTTTGAGTTTTCTCTAATTAAAAGTCGGAACAATGTCAAAACAAGTAGAAAATCCGTTTCTCTACAAAAGAGGCAGTTGTCACTGGTAATCTAGGGAAAATAATTCAGTCAAAGATGAAAATAAAATTATTAAAGTAAATAATAAACCTTATATAATTTGTTTCTAATCTTTGAATAATTATTGTTGTGTCATCCTGAGAGCACGATTGGTGCAGCTCAAATGGATCTGTACCAGAGCATCTTGCGCAGTAGTATGGTGGCTCTGCAGCTCACAACACTCTGTTCTTATTTTATTTTTGGGTTAGAGCATGCATATATTATCAGTTGCTAGATGTCATGATCAATCCCTATATTATATGTGAAATAAAAAAAGAAGGAACACTCTATAACTCTAATCAGATGTCCACTGAAAAGAAAACAAATCACATTATAGACCAATACGTGTTAAAATTGTGTTGAAATAGAAAGATGAATAGAATGTTTCTGATAGAGATTACCCATGATAACAAAATGGTCAGACACTATTTAATTGTTGTCAAGGTTGGATCTTTGTCTTAGTGAATAACAGTACATCTTATATCAGGGAAAAACACTAAGATCTGATACACTATCAATTTCGTGTGACAGGAGAAATAAAAGCTTTAGAACGCACTCCTTTTTTTTTTTTTTTTTTTTTTTTCATGTTTCAGTTTGTTTTTCAAATCAGTTGTCAATGCTATATGCTTTTTACTAACATATGTTTTTTGTTTTTAATAGTATACGAACATAAAAAAAAGCCTCCAAACCTCCAAAGACAGTAGCAAGATCTTTGTTGATGGTAAGCTATTATTCTCTGAGATCTGTTTCTTTTTGTTTATTTCACATGTGTGGCTATTTATTGAAATTTGATTTGTCAAGAACTGGAGATGGTCTCGATTTTAAGGTTAAAATTGAATCATCCATGATTTTAAAATAATGGTATTTTTATTAAACCTATAACGATGGACGTGTAGGTTATACATGCGGATTGTCACATTATTGTAGTTCTCAATTGATTTATGGTAGGTAGTTCTCAATTGATTTATGGTATGTGTGTGATTTTAGATTGTAATGTATCACAAATTTGTGGCTTGAAAATTGATATTTGTAGACTTACCCTTTATTTTTTGGCTGTGATGGGGGAAAGGAAAATAAAATTTCAAAGATTGATACTTTTATGTGATTTCTTGGCTCTTTTTTTCATATGATTTTCATTGTATGTGTGCCAGTGTATGTCTCTTCTTGAAAAATGCATGTTGAAAATGGGAGAATTTTGGACATTGACATGTTTAGAAGTCAGGTTTTCTGAATGAAGATACTCTTATGATTTGTTTGTAATTTGTTTTGCAAATGGGTAGGAATGTCATTCTAAAAGGATATTGGCAGGAGGGGGTGGAATGTCATTCTAAGATATATATATCAGCAGCAAGGGTGTGGAAGCTCACACGCTCAGATTTCAACGCGTTTCGAAGGTGGAAATGACAAGAATGTGCAGTGTGGACCTCCAATTTCTAGTGCTATGATGCATGAGGACTGCCAAAGTGAGAATACTGGTTAGTTGTCATCAAGCAGCCCTTGTAGATGTGTATTTTGTTTATATATTGCTAGTTTAACCATTAGTACGTTTGACTTGGGGATACAAGCTTGGATATGTTATATTTTGTTGTATATAGAGAATCCCGGGTATGTCCAGCATAGGATAACATGTATTTTTTGGTTTAACATTTGGATGGGTTGTATTGTTAGGTTGCATGAATCGGTCTTAGCCGAGAACATGGGTTATGTAATATATTGACTTCACTATTTTAGTGCTAATGTTGATTTATGTTTAGTTTGTAATGGATGATTTGTAAGTTTCTAAATTTAGGTGGAAATTAGGTTCTATGAGCAACCTGATGATTTTCATGTTTAAATAAAAATATCCAATTATGCCACAAATTTTTATTTGTGCTGGAGTTTTATTGTAATTATTAAAATATAATAGTGGCACAATTTTAAAGTTGTGCCCTTGCTTTAACATTTATACAGCAATCTAAGCCTTTAAAATAGCAATTGTGCCCATCTTACACCATACATTCAGTAGCCTTTATTAGAGGTAAGACACAATAAGGGTTGTATTTGTGCTTAGCTTTGGGCACAAAACATCATATTGTGTGCTATAAGTAATGGTGACGCCCATAGAGGGCACAGATACAAACTTAGTTGCTGCACTGTTGCTATTGGTCTATGAGCACAAATGTTGGTGCTTTTTGGCCTCAAAAGGCACATATAATTTTTTGTGTGCAGTGCTCATTTTTTTTGTAGTGCATAATGTATACAAAAACAATCGTAACAAAATCATGAAAAAAACCTATCAATCAACGAGAACAAAACTAAACGTATTGGAAGCTAAAACTAAACGTACCGAAAGCTAAAACAAAACGTACCAAAAGCTAAAACTAAATGTATCAATCAATGATATGTACACCTAAAAATTAAAAATAAACGTACTAATCAATACAAAACCAATATATGATAACCAACAACAAACATACCATTATCACTAATTAACAATATGTACAAATTCAAATGTATACAAAATAATTATCTAACAAAAAGTATACTAAGTAATAAACAAACAAAAAAAATCTAAGCATCCATCATTTCAATTTTAGGATAAAAAACTGTTTTTAACGAAAACAAAAATTAAAAGAAATAATTGCATAAATATGTTGAGCGAAAAAACCAAAATTATGTCCTAAAAATTCTCTCAACTAATTAAAAGGACAAATTTAGAAATCAATATGTAAAATTTTAATTTAAAAAATAAGAAATACTGATGTGGCCTAATGTACCAAAGCACCTTGATCTAAATTCTAAAAGGCATTGATGTTTAATAAAAGAAATTCAAAATTTGAGCTTTTAAATCTAATTAACTCTACATATATATATATATATATATATTTTTTTTTTTAGATGCGGTCTCTAACTATCAATATTCTTTGATTGAAACCTTGTCTGTTTTTAGTTTTTTTTAATCAAAGTCCCTAACATTAGTGTAATAATGTAAGTTACCATAGTTTGTAAATTAAAAATTAAAAATTAAAATTTGTATTTGTTTATATTAATGAGATTTTAAATAAAACTCATAATTTGTAGGATAAAAAATAATAAAATATAAATTATACTCTCTATTATATTGTGTGTGTATACACACACACACACACACACACACACACATATATATATATATATATACACACACATTCATCAAAATTAACAAACAAAAATTATTAGACCAAAACATGGGTACATTCTTCAAAACCACATGAAAAAAAAAAAGAGAAGATATTAGGCTTAATAACATTAGTAAATTTCTTCTAATAAACTTGATATTGATACATTCTCAAATCAACGAAAAAGAATGTACTCATATAAATTTAAAAATGGAATAAAAAAACTGAAAAGAATTTTATATTGAAAAATTAGGTACATTTTATATTAAAAAAGGGTACATTTTACATATAACAAATTGGTATATTTAAGAATGGGTACATTTAAGATTAAAAAAAAATTGAAAAATACATGAATGGATACATTTAAGATTAAAAAATTGAGATTTTTTTTTTAATAAAAAAACTAATGGGTACAAACTTATTCTAATAATTTTAATACATTTTGGAAATGTTTGAATTGAAAATTAATTAGGAGTTTAATAGAGGTGTGAGTATTAAAACCCTAAATCAATTACAAATTTTTATTTAAAAAAATTATGTAATAAACATGTAAATTCATTATCACATTAATACTAGGGACTTCAATTAAAATAAAACTAATAATGTCTCAATTAATGAACATTAGTAACTAGGGACTACATACAAATTTTTCTATATATATATATATATATATATATATATATATATGGGACTATTTTCTTACTGTGTGTATGCTATTGTGTTGCTAAACTATGAATCTCTTGTACCCTCAAAAATCAACATGATCAGATTCACATTCTGACAATATAAGCATTTATATATTGTCAAAATTTTGGTGTTTATGTTCTTATATATTCTTCTCTTTGCAATGGTTCTTGATTTTGCATATGTATTTCTGTCATGATTTTAGTTGCAAAAGAACAATAGCCTAGATGCTTTGCTATCGGATATATGTATCGGAACTTCAGCAGCCCCGTACTACCTTCCAGCACATCAATTTAAATCGACCAATTCAACTGGAGAAACAAGAGAATTCAATCTCATCGATGGTGGCGTGGCTGCTAATAACCCAGTATTAATCCGAAAACTTAATTTTCAGTATGAATACACATTCATACATATGTTCGTTATTATTTTTTTGTTCTTTTGTTTTAGGCTTTGGTTGCTATGAGCGAAGTGACAAAACAAATCCACAAGGGCAACCCTGACTTCGTTCCTTTCGGTGCAAATTACAAGTTGTTTGAGCGGTTCCTAGTTGTATCACTGGGTACCGGTACAACATCTGAGGAGAAGTACGATGCCAAAGAAGCATCTGAGTGGGGTGCTTTGGGATGGTTGATTGGACCTGATTTTTCAGCTCCTCTGGTAGATATATTCACTGAAGCAAGTAGTGACATGGTTGGTTTCTACCTTGCTACCGTTTTTCAAGCTCTTGAGTCTCCCGACAATTATCTTCGAATTCAGGTATATATGTATGTGTGAGAACAATCTTTTTATGAACCGTTAACATTTTGATTCAATAAAGTGAAGAAAAATATTACTAGATCAAATGATCATTTTCGCTTAGCGAATTAACCTAGCTAATAAGATATGTAGAAATAATGCGTGAAAGTGAAAAATGGATGCAGGATGACACACTGAGTAGAACTCTGGCTTCTGTGGATAATGCTACTTCAGAAAACTTGAATGATCTCGTAAAAGTTGGGGAGAAATTGTTAAAGAAACCAGTTTCAAGAGTTGACTTTGGTACTGGAAAAGGAAAGCCTGTTCATCCTGATATTACAAATCAAGAGGCTCTCATAAGGTATCTGAATATTGTATACATACATCACCAAATCCATAATTAATTTAAGTTTGTAGCATTTTTATGTGTATAAAATTTCACTGTATTTCTTCTTTCAAAAATTGATTTCCATGTGCAGGGTAGCCGGAGTTCTCTCAAGGGAGAGGGCTGAAAGAAGCAAAGTTATTGAATTGAAATCATCTTCACAAAATGGAAAGGACGCAGCATCCAACTGATCTTATATATATACTCCATGATAAATACAATACTGACCGTATATACACTTCTATACGTATATGGCTATACACTATTGAATTTCATTCAGTTATTTATTTATTTTATGTAAAATAAAAAGGCTATCATAAAGCCATGATGAAATGGTAACTGAACAATTACTTGTCTTGTAATTCAGTACTGAAATTCTTTTCTCTCAATAAATACCAATTAGCATGTTGGTTCAGACATGAGATTTGTTCCCTTCACTTTTTATTCCAGTGATAATCGAGGTGGACACTTCTATTAAGTAAAAGTTTTTTTGTTTTTTTATTCAAGAGATGTATACTACCCAAGTTTTTCTTTTCGCGTAACTTTTTCTTTTTCTTCTAAGGCAAAGGGTCGATCCTCGCCCAATGGGGGCTGGGCAACCCTCTACGGTCCAAAAAAATTAGGAACATCAAAATTATTAGGGTGACATATTTATATATGTTTTCATAAAAATATAAAATTATGAAATTTGGTTAAATGATCTAGATGTTTAACTAGAATTGGTGGTTTTTTTTTGTTTAAATTTAATGTGGATGTCTTGGGTTCAAAACAATATGTGTGTTTATTTAGTTTCTAATTTTTACGAATTTCTTTTCATAAGAATATAAATTTATAAAATTTGATTAAATAATCAGAAAATTTAATTAGAAGCAATGGTTTTTGTAGTTTAAATTAACGAGAGGTGTTCTAAATATGTGCTTGTTTATTCTTTCTAATGTTTACGAAATTATGTTTGGTTGTTAATTTGTTTTCAATTACTAGCTAGTAGCTATATATGAGTTGCAGTTTTCAAATATTCATTCTAATTTAAGTCTAAACTTTGACAAAGAATAATGCGTAGACAAAATTTTTAGACCAAAATTGCAAATGATATGATGTGTCACTAATAGATTTAATTTAGTGCTCCATAATTACTTGTAAATGTCAATTAATTATAACTTGAAATTATGATTATTTTTTTTTAGTCTCATATAGACAAGGTTAGTAAATAAGAAAAAACACCTCACGATTTATATAAAAAATACTTTAAAAGTTCAGAAAAAATAGAACCCAAACTCATAATCTATCTACTTATAAGCTTGGGGGTTTTTTTGGGTTCCTTCTCTCAGTACAAATAAATTAATTTCTTCATGTTTCTAAACTATGACTTTGAAGAGCTTTTCTAAAGATAATTTTATCTACCTTTTTATTGAATACATGTTCTTCCAAACAACATTTAAGTGACGTCAGCATCGTTGATTCAGGATCAATTCTGGCGAAACCCCTAATTCATAGAAGAATCAAAGAATTATTTACGCTAGTGATACGAAAATAAAAACAATCGACGGAAATTTTCGTTTCGCTTGCGGTGGGCTATTTCACATGTTTGTGATTATTTATGACACATTTATGATTATTCATCCATATACATTAGTATTTGATGACAGATTCCTCGCGTTTGTGGAATATCAAATGAAATATCACCTTTGTCTTGAATATTCATGTTTTTTTTTTGCATTTGAAATTCGTGGTAAAAAATATCATTCATGTTTGATGTTTGATATTCCCGATAGAAACCTGGTTGTGTTTTTCTTTGCTTCATCTTTGATGTGGGGTGTATGTAGAGAGTGCAAGGTATATGTAGAAAGTGCGGGCGTGATGGTTATTCGA